ATAATGGTTACTTATTAACAAAAACATAATATTTATGATTCATTATAGAAGAGAAACATTGAGTAGCGTGCTATGTTTTATTAAATAGTCAGCCCGGGAAAAGCACCCGAATATTTATTATTTATGAAAAGTATCTTGATATATGTAGGTATCTGATTCTGATATACTGCTCAACCCCGAGGTACCTGTTGGTCGCTCGAGAATTATACACAGTGGTAGTGCAAACTTTTTTAGTCTTTGAAGCAAATTCTATATTTGAAATATTTTTGACCCCTTTTATTACAGCAAAGTGAGTCACAGGGGGCTAACCCTAAAGTCTGTAATATATTATATTAACTATAATATTTATGTTGAGACATGAGATCTCACAATAGTACACCTATCTGGACTTGAGGCCACCCACCCACACACTTGTTATAGACATGAAGCAATCGCTTAATACATACTAAATGAGTACTTACATGACTATAAATCCCGCCACCATTGATTATACATATAGATTCGCTGTCCTAGATAATTCATAATATAATTTTTTATAAGTACATTTCAGTATAGGTATTTCACTTATAGCTATGTTTACTAAACGTATGATAGTGTAATCTAATTATTTTTTTGTTGATATAGTTAGGTTAAATTAACCACCAAGTTGTTGTGACGTTCAATTTTTCCGAATAAAATCGAACTACCTGCCAAAAAATAATTTTATGTAATAATTAAATTGTTTTGAATAAATTTATATAATTTCTAGGGGTAAGCTCTTTTCAATTTTGCAGGGAGGGCAATCATTCCACTCCAACCTATATAGGTACCTATATAATATACCGAAGAAGGTGTGTATTATTAAATTGTTTTGAATAAATTTATATAATTTCTAGGGGTAAGCTCTTTTCAATTTTGCAGGGAGGGCAATCATTCCACTCCAACCTATATAGGTACCTATATAATATACTGAATAAGGCGTGTATTATTATCATACACACTTAACGTGGGTGTAACGAACTCTCTTATAATGTTACGTATGCCATGTACATGAAATATGATTGCTATAGGTGTGGATTTTATTTTTCCAACACACCGCAATTGACAGAAACATTGTTTATGAATCAGCTTTGGCTCGGCGCGTAGTTTCACATATATAATAATTTTTGCGTTTTTGTATAATATTTTAATAATATGTACCTATGTATAATTATTAAATTATAAATCGAAAACCCTAATAAAAACATTCGTTCGTTTTTTATTATACCAAAGATAAAAAAAACCACTACACCTAACCTACACACATATACACTGCAGGCGTCGTTTAAAAATGTTGAATATGCATGTTCCGGTCTTCAAAAACAATAATATCTCGTGGTCGATGTGAGAGATGAGTGTGAATGTGTAACATCACGAGTGAAATATTTTGTGAGACTGCAATCTGCGTTATTAATGCTTATAGACGAGTGTAAATTCATACCTGTTCGACGTACGAAGAACTTTAACGACCATTATACACGTCGTATAAAATAGATTAGTGTATTCAATTTTTTTTTTTAAATCGTATTATATATCTGGTTCCAAAGTCACACGCATATCATATTTATATTATATAGGTACAAAAACTATATCTATAATGTCAAACTTTTAAATTTTTTTAAATTTAATTATGGCTAGTTTTTTAAAAAAGTGTTGTAAAAATAATAGAGTATACCTACCTGCATTATACATTTATCATCAATATCTTAGTTGTTTTTAAATCTAATTTCCAACTGTGTATTGATGATATTTGATGTGGTATTATTATTGATTACCAAGTATGGCTAAGTTATTTTATTTTGATAACTTTGATACCTATAGAAATAAAAAATTACTAATAGATATTATTACTAATTGTTATTATTTTAATAGTTACATTTTATTTCATATTGTAAATGTGCGATAGTTGATGATCCTGCAGAATATTAATTTTATACAATTTTAATATAAATGTATAACTTATTTTTCTTCAATTTCAAATTCCATTGTCATTTGCTGCTATATACACATCATCCCTACCTTACGCAAATAAATACTATATATTATACTTACATTTTATACGTTTAGTAGAATGCATTCAAGTTATTGAATATACTTTTTTGAAATTTAGTTTTAGTAGCAAAAATTGTTTCGTTTGAATTTCATTGTTCTCGGGCTGGATCAATAAATATTATGACAATACACCTACTGCGAGTTGAAAAATTACTATTGACCTATAATAAGCTGCAGGAATTACACATACACGGCTTTCAATAGGTTTATTTTTCCATCTCAAGGCTATTTTAAGTGACTAATTTAGCTATATAACAACGAATAATGATAACAATAACAATATTATACACAATATACAAGTAAACTATATTTTTGCATATAATTTATTGATTTGATTTATCGTAATAATTACGCTTGAACTGTCTTTTCTGTCTGATGATTTTTTTATCTGCTTGTACAAATTTACACTTTTTGGTTCTTATATATTACATATTAATATATTACAGTATAGAGTAGTAAAAATGGGGTATCAATTGTATAAGATCCTTTGGAAGATAAACGTATTATCTATCATAATTAAACATATTACGATTTAGGACCAATACAATAATGCATAATATTATGTAATATATAAAATCCATTATTTCATGCGCAGTCATAAACCATGTTATAATAATATAAAGTATTTTTTATTTAATACATTAAAGTCAAATAGTGCCTTTCATAAATAAAATATTTTAAGAAAAAATGTATTAATCTAATGGTTCAATAAAATTTAATGAACAAATCATGGGCCACTAAATCATATTTAAGGGACCATAATTACCTCACTATTTATTCATTAAAATATTAAATGTTAAATTATTTTTATGAAACAAGGTATTAGTATTTGAAAAACAAAGCACAATATAGGTATACATTCCTACGTCGCGTAGGTGGGTTGTAGGTACCTACTATAATTTACTATTATTATTCCTAATGGTCTTTTGCTCTTTTTTATGCTTTTTATTTGCAATTATAATATTATAATCTGTACAAGATGCCATATTTTATTTTTTATGTGAATGCATTTTATTATGAATGTCAGTATAACTATGTGATATTACGTATAATATAAAAATGTTTTATACTTATTTCTTTACCGTTTAAACTTAATCACTACCTAAAATAATACACTATGTACCTACATAATTGCAATTAAAAATCAAAAGTTGCATCATTAAATCGTTTAACCTTAATTTTTACTCCATTAACGTTTTTTTTATTATTGGAAAGTGAACGAAATCGCATAGTTTGGGTACATGACTTGGCTAAAGTAAAGTACACAAAATCATCACGTGTAGATAATTATATTAAAATCGTTTAGCATATTTCGTCGAGTTTGTTAAATACAATTCTACACAGTCAGAATCTTTTTACTATTGTTATTTTAAATATAATGATTATAAGTTGTTAATCATAAGGTTTAAAAAACCATGTTACTTTTATACTTCTATATTTCTGTTTTATAGTTTCATTGTTTAAACTTGAAACCATTATATTATTATAGTCTATAGATTCTAATTTGAATTAAAATTCAGTTTTGGGTTCAAATCCAAGCACTTTGGTTTTTAGACTTTTTAAATGTATGCTAAAAACTACATATGGTATTATAGTTGAACAATAATATAAACACAATTTTATCTCGAATGCAATTTTATTTAACCTATTCAATATGCGTAAATCGTGAACAAAACAACACGTCACTATTAAAATTTAAATGTGTAGATATTATTTACCTATACTTCTTGTTATATCCGTTTATAATTTATGTCGTGACAATTAAAATAATAATAATATGTGATATTATGTTCGTAATTTGTGATTACTATACATTTTTCCTTTGTCATTAAAACATAATTAGAATATGTTATTATTATGTTTGGCCTCAATTATAGGACGATCTGACTCTGTAGACGTCATAATTTAGCGAATACATTTTGGAACATAACAATGATAAACAAATTGATTATTTAAACGTAAATTTCTGTAATTAACTAACCATAGGTTTATCACGTCCTTGAGGGACTTTTTTTTTTATACATTTCAGAATTTTTTTAATATTATTACTAGCTCATTGCAATTTAGTATGACGGTTAACCATTGTGAAATGAAGACACACCTAAATTGTGCAATATAATTACCATTGAAAAACAGCCGGAAGTATTTTTACAGGACCATTTCATATGTATTGTACAGTAGGTAGTATATACCTACTTTCGTTAAATTTTTAATGTCTACTAAAATTTATAATTTTTTTTTTCAATTAAGTTATAATTACACAATATTGTTATCTATTTAGGTTTTTCAAATAAGTGTCATTTAAATCTGCAGCTACGCATGGAGTAAAAAGTACTTAATACGTGTCAACAATTTTTGGTACCCTACACACACTGTGGGCTTAAACTGTATTATCATTTCTGTAAAATTTATAAAGTTTGAATATAAATAAATTATTATTTGAGGTATGACTTTCACTGATATTTATAATTATTATCTTATAACTTACCATTGGTGTATTTGTGGTTATTTAAACTGGGTGATGTATTTATATCTATCGTACTTCGATTAACAATTATTAAGCTCAAATAGGCTGAAAGTGGAATATCAATCCGAGAATTCTTGTCACGATATTTTACCCCTATAAAAAAAAAAACAAATCAAATACAAATGCAACAATTTTTGTTTATTAATAACAATATTATTATAAAGAAATAGTGTGTGTTAGAGAGTAGGTCATAAGTAAACCTCAAGTTTCTCCGGGACGATGACCGGTATCAATTTCTTCTCGATGATATTGATAGAGGAAACCGGTTTACTTGTAAAGTCACAAAAGTAGGGGGGTTTGGCAACCAGCTTTAAATTAATAATAACAAGTCTAATTAAATGGATATACAACTGAGCTCGACAAATGTAAATTTTATAATTTTTATTTGTTTGTTATCATTTAGTCGTTACCACCAGCATAGACTCGGCAGGTTCCGATCTAGGTCAAGTTCATGATGCCTTCTTCATCGGAATTGAAGATGAAGCCAAAGAACGGTTGGAACGGCTGGCGGCTAGCAAACGTATCACACCAGTTGACATTACTAAATTGGCTCATCAGGTATGTTTTTTATTTTAACCATAATGAATCGTGGTAACTAATAAATAAAATTGCTTGTGCAAAGTCAAAAACGAATTGATTCAATAATCGTCCGAATAGGAGGTGTTGATTTAAAGGTTTTCCGTGCAATATTATGTAAACGCTTAATTTAAATATGGAAATCTTTTTTGTTCAATTCGGATGAATATCTGCATGATTATTATGAGTCACTTTACTTTTATTGCGTAAAATGTTTTACCTGTGTTTACGATGAGTCAGGAATTTTGAGAATATTAAAATATACCATATAATATAATCTGTTTAAATTGACAGAAAAATAAATAGACTTACCTGTGTTTAAATATGAATATAAATTTGTTTGAGTAGATGCGCTTACTACTATTATTCCGCGAAATACAACTAGTGCTACACGTGTGCAATAATAATAATATACAGCCACTTTAGATTTTTTTTAGTTTTTGGTTGATATTTTAATATCTATTTAATGTATGTACCTATATTATTTTATAATGTTTATTATTCACAAACTTATTTCAACATCTACAATTATACAATTTATATTATTATGTTTAAATAAATATAAATTGTGCTTATATAGTACTTTATAGTACTTTTAATACATATTTTATAATACCCAGTATACGTTCTAGTATAAAATTATACCATACGATATATAATTAATTCAATTATTTGGTAAGTAAAAGTAAAATATTTTACTGGCATGAATAACAATTTATTAACACATTGATAAAAAAATTATTTTAAAAAGTATACATTTCTGTTTAATTTTTTCATTCTTTAGCTTTATTGATCGGCGTTAACATATTATTATAGTATACAAAATAAGTAGTAAGGAGGTTGTAAGGCAGATTTAGTGTTTAAAATAATGTGTTTTTCACTTTTTACATAAACTTTAATTTGTTTTTGATCCCATAATTGTATGAGGTATTTTAAAATTTTGTTTTTATTAATTTCCAGTGTTTAAGTTATTCAGCTCAACAGTTACAACGATTAACGTAAATAATATAGAAATACATTGTATGAGCCATTTAACTTATATCAGACTTTTGTGTCTTTATCGGTCGTTGATTTATTTTTTTAGTTTTAGGATGTTATACGCCTGGTCATATATGCAATTTTAAATACACAAATGAATGTTATGTGGTACTATACTGTAGATAATACATTATGCTATATAAACTGCAAATAATTATTTATTTATTTTAATATTATTTTCATAACTATTAATTATTATGATGTATATTTCGTATATTTAGGTAATTAAAATATATAATTTCGTATACATATTTATACTAGAACTAATGACTGCAAGAAACATAATATCATAACCATTTATAGATATTAATCTATCTTAAATTCAACTATGGAAAAAATTTAAAAAGTGATTATTAGACACAGTCTCACAATGTAGATTTAAAAATAAGACAATGTTGTAGTATGCAAATTGTATTGTATGTAAGATAGTATTTAAAATATAATTTGCATCTAAATATTAACAAAACTTAAATAATAACTATGGCACAGACTTATTATTTTATCATGATATATTATAAGATAATATATAATTTTTGGGGGTATTTCAGAATATTCCAATAATATTCGTATAGTATACGACAAACGAAATATGAATTATTTATATTGCATATTCAAGATTTTTGATGTCATTTTAATACTTTATATAAATAAATTTCTAAAACTAAAACATTATTATAAGTTGTAAGAATTAGGAAATATGCTGTACTATTTTAATTCGATTGACAACGTTCATGATCTTGAAAATTATGTTTTTATTTTCCTATAATATTATGCATTATGCATTGCAATTTATTGTAAACAATTTCGTTTTTTATCATATTTTGCATTTTACACTTAATTGTTGTGCTTATTAAATGTGCACTACATTTTACTGTTTATATGACTATATATTATAAAGTATTAATGAATTATTTTTATTCCTTGTTGAATGATTCCATGGTTCGTGGACTAGATTAACATGTTTAAGAATCGGGTTGGATCTAAATGTTTCAAAATATATATTGAAATTAAACCCTTATTATTTTAAATTTATCTATCTCGTAAATTAAATAACTGTAAATAAATTCTTATTATGTAGTAACTTTATAAACTTTATATTATACTGTTTACGCGATGTGCCTACTCAAAATACCATTTAATAGTCAAGTTAGGCTATTTTAGTAAATATATTATGATTATTGTTCTTATAACAACGTTTTAACTAACAGTCATGTACAAAATATAGGTACCCCTATGTTCAAAATATATAACTTTTACATAAATTAATGCTGATTACACTAGTACATTTTTTATTTTCATGAAATTTCAGGGTGGAAGACAGTGCCCATAAAAATGACATTTATGTGTAATTCTCCATAAGACCAACTAATAATTTATGGCTTTTTTTTATAAAATGTATAAATATTAAAAACTAACATAAATTATTTACCTAATAATTAATCGTTCAATTGTTTTTACTTACTTACCGTCAACAGAACCAAAGGAAGTTTTGATTTTTTCATTTCTATAATGTGTTGGATAAATATAACATGTCTAGTACCTAGGTATTTACAGTTTATACTTTATAGTCAACGATAACACATAATACATATTTTAAATATAAATGAAAAAAAATAAGTTAAATAAGTTAAATATTATAATAGTTTATAATTTATATGAAACAGTACCTACTTACCTAATAGTATTAAGTAGATAAAAACTGCGGTATTGTACAGAATCAAACGTATAATAATATGCAGTTTTAATTTCAACGCAATTTTAAATCACATTTTAAGCACGTCTACTATACAGCATACGTCTATACGTATACGTAGTAGGTAGGTACATAAAACTAAATTTCTAGAATTAGTGAATCTGCACTATTTCAACTTGTATTATTTGGTCATTTGGGTGGTTTATTTTAATGTGAAATAATTTCCGACAGTGAAATATGAGCGCTGGTCAAAAACTCGAAATCAGACACCCACACCGCGCGGTCCGCATGAAAACAAATTTGGGCCATTTTATGCCGTCAAGATTTATGAGCCAGTTAATTAGACACGTTTCTGTTACGGACCTATAAAAAGGTTCAACTGTATGGCGCCGAAACGTTTCCTTTGACTACCTATTTGAAAACCTCATGTCTGGTATATGGTATATTCTACGACTTGTCCTTAAAACGTTTTTAATATACGTTTAATCACCGCGCATAGTTTTAACTTTTAATACCTTGTACCTTTATTGAATACACATTACTCATTAGTAGATAATTCAGATTGGTTGTAGACACTATATTTAATATTAAAACTTATACGTATTGAAGTGAGAATTGTTTTTGTTAATTTTCGACAATAAGCAATACTCATCATTAGATTCTAACTATAGTTTGCATATTTGCAACTAGAAAAATAAATGAACGATTTAATATTATATTTATATATGTAAAAATGTTCCAAATGAACAGCATAACAACTATGTATTATTGGTACTATTATTTATAAGCTTAGAAGTGTATTAAAAGTAAAGGTAGGTCATGACTTATTAATTTATAACACTTATATAAGTGTGGGTTCATTTTTAGAATAGTAGTAAGCACATCATTGCAAGGTTTTTTTATTACCAGATAATCAATCGTTTCTATTTTATTGGAAAACAATTTGTGTAATTTGTTTTATTTTTATATAGTTGATGCGTCAATTGCATCCGACAGCCGAACTCAACGATTTTTTAGACAATAAGGTACACAGTGGTCGTGTCGGTTCTTCATGCCCACCGGACAACGGAAATAAATTAACCGAACAAGCCGACCCCAAATTATCTAGGAGACCTAGTTCACCATTCAATAATGGTCATACCGAGGTTCTTATCTGCAAAGATGTCACCGATAGTAATAATAGACTGAAAGCTGTCGACGAGACCAACGAAACTCAAAACTGGTGAGCCGTAGTGATAACTAAGTATAGATAATTAACGATTTTCAATCTTTTTAATTGAAATATTTTTAAAAACACTTTTTGATAAAACAGTATTTACAGGATATATAGGCTCGTTTGTCTAGGTATTATATATTTTGTAAACTGTAGGCTATATTATATTTATCAAAGCCGATGGTAAAACTGCGAATATTATACACGGCCCTAATTTTAACGGGAAAAAATAATTTCCATTCGTAAATACAGATATTATTTATTTGTATAGCATGATTATTACACGAGTTTTCAACATGAATTTAAATATTTAATTTTCAATTAATGTTGTACTGTGTTGATGATTTAGTATATGTATCGGTCAAGTATTTTTTTTAAAAATATTTTTACGGACGTACGCTAATTTTGTATAGAGGATTTCAGCAATAAATAATTTGCAGTCGAATTTAACACAATATTCAATAGGCGAAATTATTTTATTTTGAATACACCCAAACAATTGTATAAGGTTTAAAAAAGTTTACAAAGTTGGGTCCCTGCAATGATCTCCCCTACATAATTTTGCACTGTATATAGATAGTTGGTCGTTTGTCTTTTCTTTAAATCCATTACCTATATTATGTTCAGTTCTAAATTATAATAAATACAATTTAATATTTTGAAAAAAAAAAATGAAACATGTATTTAGAATTAGATATTAGATATCGTTATCCATGACACGCTATATTCATCAAGAATACTATAGAAAGCTATATATTATTATGCTGGTTAGTATTTTTTAATAATTGTGTGTTAAAGTGTGTTTGTAGTGTTGAGCATAATAAATAATTGCTTTCTAAATTCAATATAGTAGGTATAGACGTATTGTAATCGGAAATTCATAACAAATGTATTTTATAATTTATATATGCACATATATCTCATGAGATCATATACCTACAACTATAATATAATACATTATACCGTATTACTGTACCCATACAAAACCAGATCTATATTTAAAAAAATATTAAATTCCAAGTTTGAGTTAATGATGTAGGACGCGTAAGTATAAAATATACATTAAATGAGAATAAGTGTTATTATATAGAATTATTACTAAAACTGTTTGTGTTCATAACAAGTAAGAACTATAATAATATCTACATTTTAAGCGTTTGTCTGGCTTTGATAAAAAAAAAAAAACAAAAAAAAACACTAGATTCCAGTGAAGGTAAAATGTATATTGTATTTCATTTTTATCGTTACTTTACACAGTTTTTCGTTCTCACAATTGATTTTATTGTGTAAATCATCTGAAACAGCTATCGATACTAATTTTGTCGTCAGTACTTTTAAAATAATAAATTACAAACGTAGTATATATTAATTTCAAATTTATCAATATATTTAATCTATAAACGTTTAAAAAAAAATGCAAAACGTGACAATCCCGTAAAGAAAAAAACCACTTATACATTTTTTATCGGAATTTGAACACTGTATACATATAAAACGCTATACCTACTCGACAATATTTTTATTTCATCCTGCTATGGGGTTGTTGCAATTTAATTTATTACCAAGTAGCCTACTGTAGGGTTCATGAAATTAATTGAAATTATGTCAAAAGAACGTATTCAATAGCTAAGTGTAAGAATAATTATCCTTCGTTTTCGGGCAGTACCTGATTGTTTTTGAGAAAAAGATTTTACTATTTTAGTCCTAAAGGCATTTGTCCGTATCGGAGACATCCTGAAATTTTATTTAATTTTTACGAACGATGATTGCCGCCTGCAATTTAAAAATATTTAAACGAGTGACAAATAATATGATAATTATAATATTGTTTTAAAACATTTTTCAATATTGATGGTTTTATTAGCCGGCGGGTATATAATTAACTATATAGTTAATATTGTATAGTTTCTTCATTATTGTGCACACGATATTATCATCACACACGCTTAGAATATTATACGTCCTAGAGTTTTCGTATATACTGCATAGAGAACTGCAGAGCATGATTCCGCCCACTATATATATAGTTTAAAAAACGACTATTTTACCGGCAACATAGACAATGATTATAATGAAGAGTTATGCGAGACCATGAGCGTTTTAAGGTTTTCCCCTACCAAAACGACGGGATTTCGAAGGGGGCTGTTTGTATTTTTTTTTTACGGTCCACCTGTCTTTAATTTACCACGGTAACGTGCACAATACAAAGGGAGTTTTTTTTTGATTTTAGTATATACCTACCTATAGTACCTACCTACGTCCTACGCGTCGACACCGTATAATATTATATTATTATAATGTTTTGTGTAGTTAATTAAAATAAAACCGTAGGTACGCGTTATAAGTTAACTTACTAATCAATAAGTTCTATTCGAATGGATCCTTGTTCGTCCAAAATTTACATTTTGTTTTATTATATATTATTATTATTATTATTTTTAATGTAATTATCACGTTCTCCGGTCGGTTTCAAATTTCAATATGGCATAGTCTTATGTAATGTGTTGTATTAAAACTGCAATTACACATAATATTATATTGTTATTCGCATTATTGTCACTTTAAAACCTTTTCTTTATGTACACTGTATGGTTTATTTGTGGCAGAGGTTGCATTTAATCGATTTTTTTTTCAGTTTTTTTCTGTGAATTTCAACCGCCGCCGTATTATATTTCGGTTATTTTGACAGATTTCTAAACTGCAAAAACCGGACAGTGATCTGTTCTGCTGCAGATCCAAGTGTATATTTCGTGTACTGCTGCAGTCAAACGACACGGTTGATAAATTATTTTATAATATGAACACTGTGCCAGTCTTTTTTTTTTTGGCGGAAATTTTTACTTGGTCATACTAAACGGAGAGGAAAATTATTAATAAATCCACCTCTCCCCTTATCCCTTCCGTTGTCCTGCACACACACGCATACACACACGTGACATAACCAGTTATTGATTATAAAACCAGAACCGTATCATATACATATTATATTATTACTATTATTATTATACGTACGGGTTTGTGTTTGTATACACGGATAACTATAGTATAAACGACTACATATTTTCAAACTCGCTTATAATATTATGTTATGTCTCTCCAAGTCGTTGGATAAAACAAATTTATTGCGTATACATATTAATGATCGTAGTGGCTAAAAATAAGTAGGAAGATGGATACAATAATAATATATGGCTACGTGTTTAGTAAAATGTACCTAGTTACGATTTTACTGAACACATAGGTAATATCGTGAAAAATGTTTCGATATTTTTACCGAAGATATTCATTTTACACCGATTAGGTATCTTATATATTTAATATATATTACATATATATACTTATTATAATACCCAGTACATATTTTAAAATGGCTTAAGGTGCGCAATGAAATTGAATATTTTGATGATAAAAATTATTTTGTTAGTGAGGAATAAAAATGATTGTTGAGTAGTATAGGTATTTAAATTTCCTATCACGACGTAATGAATATAATATACTGAATTTATAATTCGTTAGGTAGTTTTTCCTCAAACCGATTTCAGTTGTCGATCTTTGGCTATGATAAAAATCAATATTTTATTGTATGCATAATAAATCGTTTGGAATTTATTTTTATTTGCATTTTATTTATACATAATATAAAATATGTTTTCTTATAGTAAATAATATATCAACAGATTTTTTGCAAGAAATTTAAAAATATTATTGATTATAATTAAAAATCTTTTATTTTGAAAAATGTACTTATTCTTAACATTGTTTGAGTTGATTTTTGTAATAATACCTATTATAGGTACCTATATCGTTATGAATTCTTAAGATATATTATATGAATACAATACATATTATGTCGTATCAGGAGACCCGTTCAATTAATATACCATTAGTCAGTATTAAATATAAATAATATAAATTTACCTAGGTAAAATATGCTGTTCTTTATGAAATGTATAGTACTATAGTGCCTTATGTAATATTGTAATTCGTTAAGACTTAAAAACAATCTCGACTTGGTCGCAGTATAATTAAGAAAAAACAATAGTCGCGGTATACTGGCATCCTCTAAAACGATATTTTTTCAATTTGCTTTGTGGAGTTTAAAACAAACTATAAATTAAATGGTCACACAGTAAAATACATATATGGCCCCAGGGACGGATCCAGTGGGAGGACAAGGGACACGGGGAGGGGCACAGGCGCACACATACACTCCCCCATTATTTTCGGAGATTCAACAATTGAATACTATATATATCCATGATTTTTTTATTATACTAGTTAATATAAAATGTATACCAAATATTAAATAATACTATAATAAATACTTCATTCTGTATCTTCGCCGGTCTTGAAAGTTTTCACATCATTATTTTCTATACATAATGAGATTTTCAAAATATTTAGACTAATTTTAGGCTATTTTTCTAAGATTGCCCACGAACCTAAACACATCATTTTAGGTACTTAATAAGTATATATTCGATGATGTCAAAAATTAATCCAACCTAACGTATAGCCGTAGGTATAGCCGGTATAGGTGCCTATTATTATACTAATAGAAAAATTAACTAATATTATATATATTAACACGTATATTATAAGAGAAATAAGATGCTGACCAGAATCGCGTTTCGTATGTACATCAAGTTATCACCGAAATAAACGAAAAGGTCGGAATCATTTAGGGAGATCTCAAACCGTAGTTTTAACTGTGACACGTATACGTAGTGAATGTACCTGCGAATGGCTGATGTTTTGAGTTATTCCATAATTGTTAACAGCTACACGCGTGTATAAACAACCCGAGTCTGAAAAGGGAAGGTATAAATCGTCATACGAAAGGGAAGGTATACATTATCGTCGTATATATATATATTTACGTTTAATGAGCAACAACGTAAGGGTGGAAAAGCGACGCGTCTCTCAGACGCAGGCGATTTGTGACCACTGCCATAACTAACGCGTTGTGGTAGGGTCGAGCAGCAGCTCCTACACCCATGTGCACACAA